CTGTAAAAGATTTTATAGCAATTTTTATTGCCACTAAAAATCATATTAAATGTCACTAAAAGTTTATTTTGTTGTAGTGTATATAAAAAAAATTTGTCATATATCAAATGTCTTTTTAATGAAATATATATATAATATGAAAAAAAAACCTTTTAAGGTTAATTAAATTTTATTTATTTTGAATAATTATAATTAAAAAATAAATTGGATATTATAGGAATTTAGGAGAAGGAGCGATATATTTAAATAAAAAGAAAATTATTAACAGGCTCTTAGACTTACATGTAATATATATTAACAAATAGATGTCATTAAATAACCTTACGAGTGAATACATGTACGATGTATCTACGTGTTATTGAATGATGAGTAAAAAAATATAGAAAAATATTAGTTATAATATACACTAAATGAAAAATTCATAAATAAAATAGATAGATAAAAGCGCAAAAAATGCTCATATAATTTAGTGGACAATGAGTGATTCTTGGTGCTTAAAGAGAATGAGAATCAAGGGATAATGAAGCTAAAAATACGGGCATAAAGCCTATCACTACTCATCGCCGGCTTACATATTTGTCCATTGCCCTATTTTGGGACTCTCTTTAAGAATCCTGCAAGGAATTATTTCTTCTGTTTTACCTTTCCTACTAATCATATATAGCATTTGATTCCACTTAACTTTAGGTGTGTTAGGGGTACTGTCCTATAACATTAAGTCAACCTCAATCACTTAAAGCCTAGAGCCATGTAATAGCTACTTCCCACTAAACCATTAAGCCAGTGGCTACTCAAAGCCCCTCCTCTCCTCTTAATGTATATTACATGAAGAGGAAGAACTTAAGAATTTATGCAGTTTCTAAATTAACTCAAGTTGAAATCCGAAAGCAAAGTTCATATTATACTACACATCATTAAGCATGGGTATCAACTTATATGTGATTATTTCAACTTAATCAACGATATTGAATTTAAATTTTGGACATACAATTCTATTAAATATTTGAAAGAAAAACAATGTCTCTAATAATTTCATTGTTTAGTGAAGTATAACTTTTATATATATATATATATAGTCATGAGGTGCTTCACAACTAGCTGTTTTGAAAATGGTTGAGAAATTATACATAAAGATGCTTTGGGTGTGCAAACTTCAGCACTAACTGAAAATGATGATTAATTAATTTTTGAAAGCCAAAATATAGTGAATGGAGCTCGGTTGTGACATTAAATTAGCAATTCGACAATGTGGGGGAATCAATAAAAATTAACAAATGTTTTGAATAAAATGATGGGTTTTGAATGTGAAACAAAGCCTCCCCTCAAAATTAAAGTAACATTGCAGCCTGCTAAAATGGCGCTACGAAATTAGAGAAAGAGAGAAAATGGTAGAAAAGAATAAAAAGACGGCATGGTTTGACTTCTTCCAATGCTTTTGAAAGGTAAAAAAGCTTCATTAGCGGTTATCTTTTGAACAAGACTATGATTTTTGTCTCTTTGCAAGACTGACAGTACACAGTACTTCATGTGGTCCTCTAAAAATAAAATGCACTTATAAAAATCTTATTTGAATCAACTTACAATGGAGGGGAACAAGAGCAGCCCTATCCCCGATTATGGCCCTCTGTTCTTTCAATTGTATATAATTGAGGGATGATCAAATGTAAATATGCTTTTTTACCAAGAAACCATACATATAATATGGATAAAGATGCAATATATATAACACAAACATAAAGATATGATCAGTTTTTAAAAATTATAGGATATACAACATGATTAAAATTATACTGTAATATGCAAAGAGTATGTTTAGATACACTTTTCAAGAATTATTTTCAGGAAAAAAAATAAAAATTGACATAAATTTTTCTGAGTTAAAATTAATTTTTATATAAGTGCAAATTAATATTTTAGAAAAATCGATAGGAACAAACTTTTATTATATAGTTTATAATTAAACTAATTTTATCTTATAAATATCCTCAAAGAGGTTAGTAATTGATGGATCATATTTTGTACTAATTAATCTAAATTTTCATCTACCAAAATAATTTTATCCTATAGAAAAGTTTATTTCATTTTTTATTTAACTATTTTAAAGGTGTTTTTTTATTAGAAGTTTACAAAGCTGTAAAATTAATATAAAGTTAAGACGTAATAGAAAATTAAGAAGTACAAGAGAATTGTAAAATAGAACTAAAAAATTAAGCATATAATTAATTGTAAAATAGAAATATAAAAAAATATAAAATGCAACTAAAAGAATAAAAGCGTCCATATAAAGTCGAATATAAATACATGCTCAACATTATATGACCATTATTTAAAAGTATGTGTATTTATAAAATAAAAATGTGACCCTTCTTTCAATATTTTTTTTTTATTAACTTATATTAAAAACTCAAATATTATTTGGGTGTGTAAGTTTTATTTTACAGGTTTCTTCTAATTAAAAAAAAATGTTTTATTCTATATAGGTTGATATGCATTAATTTAAAACATAACTTTTACGCTAAAAGTATGTTTTTTTTTTTTAATTTTACAATCGCTAAAAGTAACGTAATTTAAAAAAAGGGAAAAGGGGTTTCAATAAATTCTCAACAATGAAAAGGATTTTTTCAACCTAAGCTTAAACATGTACACAAAATACCATGTTATCTAAAAATATCCAGTAGATTTTTTTCTTTTTTTTCCTTTTTTCTTTTTTCCTTTGATGGAAGAAAAAAAAATCATAAAAGAAAATACTCTATCCATAGAGGAAAAAAATAAATTATATAAGTGGAAAATCCATATGTATCAAATACGGGTCAAAAATTAATTTTCTTTAGAACTTTGACTACATTAAAATTATTCTTCTAATAGTTATTTTTTTTATTAAATCAAAAATTTGAATTTAAGACTTTAAAATTTGAGAATCAACTGCAACACTAATTAAACTAATATATGTTGATTTTTAAGAGTTTAATTACAGATTAAATTTAGTATCGTACAAGTATTTTGTACAAGAGATAGATATATTTAAATTAGATGAAATTATTATAAACTGTAAAATATTTTTTTAGAAATATTTAATACAATTACATATTTAAAAATAAAAATCAAATTTTTTATTAAGTTAAAATAATCATATGTCAATCGAGTGGTAAAATTGTAAATGAAATATATTATTTCAAGATAAAATAATATTATACACAACTTTAATATTAAAGAGTACGATATTTTTAGTAGTTACACATATAGCATTTAAATCTTAACTTGTTGTATAATTTTATCTACTTCAACAGTTGATTCATGATAAATCCTATACTCACTACGTTTTATTGATCAGAAAGATATACAATCATATAGTCAAATTTTGGACCAATTCAATTCTTTGGTCAGTGATCCTATAGTTTGGATGACTGCTACCACTGAAATCTTTCAACTACTTAATGAAGGCACCTAAGAAAATTGGTTCATTTTTAATTAAATTAACATTAATGTTGATTATAATTTGTGAGCACTATTAGAAGGTCCTTGGCCTTTATTGTTAACGTTCATCGCAATTAAGGCACAAAAACGTCAGAGAATCGTAAGAACTTTCAGACTAAGAACTCAATTTGTCATCATTTGTGATAAAATGAAATATTGGTTTTATTTTTTTTAAGACATTTTCTTTGTTGGTAAGGTACTTTTCGGTTGAGAGTTGGAAATTAATATATCAATGTATGAAAATTTATTTAAAGAGTTATTTTTTAAAAAAAAAATATTTTTTCATACACAGACCTAACTATTAAATTGATTATCACATGCCTCAAGAACATAATTATTATTTGTCAAATATACTACTCTACATTGGTTAAGATATATAGTGGCTTTATATCTTTTTATTCGATAGAAACTTTATATATATGCCATTCCTTTGTAAAATGAGAGGCCTAGATATTATAATCAGAAGTTGCTACTACTATTATTTTAAAAATTATTTTAGATTTCAATGATACGTACTCAACAAAGTAAATGAAGATTTGTATTATGTAGAAACTTACATGATACAAATAACTCTTAGAAAACTCCTTACAATAAACAATTTAATGTTAGCTAAAATTGACCATTGACCTCTTTTTAGAAATTAAATCAATGTTGATTACAAAACTTAAGAACTGAGAAGGGTATTTGTCAAATCTCAAAACTTAAACAAATCCATTTTATTTTTGAGGGTCAATACATTTTTTCCTCTTATAATCTATATAACCCACAAATAAAAAATGAAAATACGAGACACCAATATAGAAATACAAAATTGTACGACACGACACTAGTATACAATTAACGTAAAATATAAATATTAAATGAAAGACTAGAATTTAAAAAATGAACATGAATTATGGTAAACATGATAAAATATTTTCTTAATTATTATTGATATTAAATTCTAAAAATAAAATATAAAAAAAAAATTAAGAATTGAAGTGTGTAACACGTATGTGATTGTGTGTTTAAAATGAGCGTGACATGATACATAATTACATACACACACAGTGTGTAAAACCGCGTAAGTCTCACTTGAATGCTCATAAAATGGCTTGACATGCAAAGAATATAATAATATTCATCCTAGGAACCGTCTTATTTTTAATTAATAATTATCATTTCTCAAGAGGCAAAGAAATAAATAAATAAATAAATAAATAAATAAATAAATAAATAAATAAATAAATAAATAAATAAATAAATAAATAAATAAATAAATAAATAAATAAATAAATAAATAAATAAATAAATAAATAAATAAATAAATAAATAAATAAATAAATAAATAAATAAATAAATAAATAAATAAATAAATAAATAAAAAATCCCCATTCACCTTTAACCTTTTATTTAAGGAAAGAAAGAAGGATTAGTATTTTATACAGTAGAAAAGTCAACAGGAAAGAAGTCATTGGTATGTTTTGTGGGCACTCAGAAAAATATAATTTTTTTTTCCCGTCTTTGCGAAGCTTAAGGTTCCCGAAACGGTTACATAATAATATCATAACAGAGAAACATTAGCATCCCATGATTCCTTTGTGTCTCACACACAACACAACAGAACACAACAGAACACAACAGAAGCTTGAAAATTGTGATTTGGCTCCCTCATTTTTCTGACTACGTAATTTAATTTAGTTTTTGCCAAGTACGAAGGGAAACAGCATGGACTATCCGAGTCCAACTACAAGTTCAATCCTTTCTCAATTTTGATTGGACTGGTGAGCTCAGATTCCTTCATACCTCGCTTTTGCCTTTTCCTCTCTCACTGCACTGCTTCATGCCTTTTCTGGGGTTTGGCCTTCTTCTCCAAAATTCTGTTTTTCACAATTCTATTTGTGTCACACAGGTTGTGATTCTGGACCCAGCAAGTGGGTTTCTTTTCAAATTTTAATTCTAGGTGTCAGCCAACTGCTCTGTCCTCAGAATTAGTTCAAAACATTGAAAAAGCTCCTCAAATTTATTTTTTTTTTCTTTTCATTCATGGATAAGTTGTGCTGTTTTAAGGCTTCCTACTCTCAGGTATGAGTGAAACTTGTGCTCTTAGATTTTTCATGCTTCTGCATGAAACATTATCTGCTGTTTATTGAGTTTGAATTTGTTAGATTTTATGTGGCCATGTTCTCGCCTTTTGTTGGTCACTGACTTTTGGGGAAAACTCGAATTCCATTTCTGAGATTGTATTCCTATAATTACCATTTACCAAATTTGAGTGATATGAAATTTGAGTGCACCACACGTTCTTGGTTAGTAATTTAAATTTGTTATAGAATGCTTGTTTTGTCTGCATCCTATTTTTATTGGGATTAGAAATCTGTCTCTTGGGGTGACCAGGAAATAAATTGATTCAGTAATTACTAGAAGACAATTAACCTAGAAGTTTGTATTTTGGAAGCCTAAATCTAGGTTTAGATACATCAAATAAAACGTTTTTGTTTTTAGCCATTCTTGACCATCTATTACATGGCTCTTGGAACTCTGAGAGGCTCTATTTGTTTGATAGGGAGGTTGTTAATGTAATGAATGTGGCTTTGTTACGCAATCAAATACTTATGCTCCCTTCTACATATGTCACCTGTACTGGCAGGACTATTCAATTTCTATGTGTTGGTTACTTTACAGCTTGTAGCAGCACGTTCTTCATCCAGCACTGGTAAGGGGAAAAACCATGAAGGTTCAATAAAGTACGGTTTCAGCCTTGTAAAAGGGAAAGCTAATCACCCAATGGAGGATTATCATGTTGCCAAGTTTGTGCAGATAAAGAATCACGAATTGGGGTTATTTGCTATTTATGATGGTCACTTAGGTGACCGTGTGCCTGCCTATTTACAGAAACATTTGTTTACCAACATTTTGAGGGAGGTTAGTTGAAACTCTTAGTGTTCTAAAAAAACTAATCATATTAATTGCTCTGCTAGTTTGATCAAAATTCAGATTGGAATTGTTACATTCTTCTACTTCTTTGTTTAATAGGAGGAATTTTGGGAAGACCCCACTCTTTCTATCTCAAAGGCATATGAGAGCACAGATCAAGAAATTCTATCGCACAGTTCTGATCTTGGGCGTGGTGGATCAACAGCTGTGACTGCTATATTAATCAACGGGCGAAGATTATGGATAGCTAATGTTGGAGACTCGCGAGCTGTTATTTCAAGAAAAGGTCAAGCTGGACAAATGACTACAGATCATGAGCCTAACATGGAACGATGCAGCATTGAGACTAGAGGTGGTTTTGTCTCTAACTTGCCAGGTACTTTAAAACTTCCATTCTACTGTTCCAATTTACGGAGTCTATGTGCCTTTGGTTTCTTGTTTCTTGTGTGGATCACCTCTTTTTGTCTAATTTGTGGCTACCATTTGGTAAAAAGAGAATATTCTGATATAGTGAATGCGAATTTCACTGTTACAATTCTCTAGAGAAGGAGATTCAATTTATGTCTTTTGCTGTTATTAGACAAAGCAAATTAATGATGCATCCATACAACTAAATTAAATATCCTTGCAGAACAAATATTATATTGTAAGTTGTGATGCTCTTTCAGAGTAACCAGTCATTAATCTGCTTTAAAATGAATTTGTGTACTCTGTTTTATTAATCATAACTAAATTCAAGCGAGGAAACATTTTTATATTGTTTTATACATTGCATAGGGCTTTGTGACTGTTTTTCTTGGAAAACAATTTTGCTTATGCACATCATAAGTGTTTGAGTTTCTTTTTCTTTCTTTTTTCCCTTTTAACATGAAAGTTTGTACCATGTATGTGATTGTGATCTACTTTTTCCTTTTAGTGTTCTGCGGGGAGGGGTATGGGAGTAATTTCTGAAGTATTAAAATAAAAGAGTAGTTTATTACAAATTTGTCAGCAATCAATTGAAGGTTCCATAGAAATTTTAATTTCTTCTTTTTACTCAAACCCTATTTCCAAAAACCGTGTGATTTTTACTATTCATATGCCAATATCAAAGAATTGCAACAACGACAATGAGCTAGGTTGTTTTCCCTGAGTGTGATATCACTACAACATAGTGGTTATTGTATGCTTGTGGTATAACCGTATAAGTGAGATTACGTTTATGACAGCACATAGCCACCATAACATATATACTTACGGTAACATTAATGATGATGATGCAAGGTGATGTGCCTAGAGTAAATGGACAACTTGCTGTTTCTCGTGCATTTGGAGACAAGAGTCTCAAGTCACATTTGCGATCAGACCCTGATGTACAGAATACTGACATAGATGTTGATACCGAGATTCTAGTCCTTGCAAGTGATGGACTATGGAAGGTGAAATAGAAATGTATTGCTGTTTTCATTTACAATATAATATAAAAACGGGAAAGAAAAAAAATAAATTCATTTGCATGTGATAAAGCAGGTAATGACTAATCAAGAGGCGGTGGATATTGCTAGAAGAGCAAGAGATCCTCAGAAAGCAGCTAAGCAACTAACAGCTGAAGCATTAAAAAGAGATAGTAAAGATGATATATCTTGCGTTGTGGTTAAATTCAGGTGATGATATCTTTCAAATGCTGGGTGCAGTTTATAACAATAATAAAGGTTATGGTCTGGACCAAACAACATATTATTACATACTTGTTTGGGTTAGTCCTGGCTGAATTCTTCTGAATAGGTAATTTGCCAAAGAGGTAAAAAAAAAAAAAAAAAAGGCTTTGTCTAGATCTAAAGTTATTTTTTTTATTAGATTTTAATTGTGGTTTGAGAGTGTTTGATTTATTTCTGCAAAAGTGTGACTACTCAGATTCTGCTGTATATTGTCATTTTATTCTTCATAAAAGACCTAGCGGCTGTGTAAAAGACGAATATGCTTCTAGTTATTGATTGGGGTATAGTGAGTGCTAGGATAATTGGTCCTATTCACGGTTGTATACCACATTCTTTGATAGACATGGACCCTCCTTCCTTTGTTCCATTTTCCAAATGACAGCAGGTCGTCCCAGTTTAATTGTCATGCGCTACGGGTTTAAAAAAACATACACTAGCAATCAATCAAAAAGTTAACTTTGTTATGATTTTTAAAGTAATAATTTTAAAATATGCTTACTATGCATGGTGATCTGTAACTGTATGAGTATAAAGAGAATTATATTGTTAATGTATTGTAATTAAATCTTAAAAAACATCATAAGAATGTTTTATAAAATATTCGTGTCATGTTAATATAACATTTCTGTTTCTAGATATGTGAGTAACTTAAACAAAACCCTCTAACAGACACTCTCTGAAATATAGCAAAGGCTTTGATAGATTTTATTAGTAAAAGTAAGACATTGAAGTATATTGTTCATAGTTTTATAACTTCGGTAATAGTTTTAGTATCTTATTTTGTCAAATATCTAAAATCAATTTCTATATGAAACTTGTGACAAATTAATTAAGTCGATTTCTAATTACATTATTCAAAATTAATTAGAAGAAATAATATATTCATTAACAATGTAAAAAAAAAACGTTATTATTCAATCACACATTGTTATGCATGGGAAGTTTACAATTTTTATGATAATTATCTTAAAATTTATACCAAAGATGTTTTTTTTACCGGTTGATAATGTAAAAATTTTATTAAGACATTGTATACTTGTTAAACTCATTTAGTTTTACTTTTTTTTTTTTTTTTGAAACAGACCAACCGCTGAATCAACTTTAGTAATGCTAAACTTATCCGAACAGCAATTTAAAAATTTATTGCAGTATGTGAAAGTTTATTTTAAAAACTGTTATTACTTGAATTGAAAGTGACCAGAAAAATGACGATTTATTAATTTTCAACAATCTTAACTTATTTTTTCTTGGTTAACATGAACTTCACTTAAAAAGGACCAATAGAATCTAACTCAGTTATGTAGGCTAAGTGAGCTATTATACACAACTTGGTACTGAAATTTATTTTGTAATGGTAAAAATTTATTTCACCTGGACTTTCCTTTAATCCCATACATATGAAGAGTAATCAATATATATAGAAATGAAATTGCACAAAACCAAGCTTTAATCTAGATTTTCTGCTTGCGTGCAAGAAATGATGAGACTAAATGAAAAAAATAATAAATAAATAATAATAATAACTAATATTATTATTAATAATAATAATCTCAAGCTAGTTTGATTTCATCAGATTGCAAATGCAAATATGTCAACTATGTGCAGTCAACACATCTTATTAATTTAACGCTGTCTTCATTGGGTATATTTGTTTTACTTGCTTGCCGCTTTCCTAGACCCGCTGAATTTCAATCTCACTCAAGTAATTGGTGTTCAACACGATTGAACAAATACGCAAACACACTAGCAGCCTCTCTAAATCACGTTTAATGCAGAGACTTACTCTTCATAAAAAGAAACGATGCAAAGACATCTTAATGATTAGAAAGATCAAATTATCAGATCAGCACAAGAATTACCCGATCAGAGGTCTCTTCCTCCTGAGGAAAAGATCCAAACAAATTACCATAGCTTTTGATATAAATTATCTGATCATATTATCACTATCTTTATTATTTCTGAAGTACAACTAACCACGCACCGAGTACATCAACAATGCATTCAATCAGTATTACGCGAGATTTACAATCATTTCATTCCCAACAAAAATAAATTTATGAACTGATGATCAAAGATTTGACCTTCAAGAAAACCTACAAGTCAAAGAATTGCAGATTTCAGCTCGAGTTTGCTACATTTAAACTATACACATTGAAGTCTCAATCTTCTAGAACGCTGAATGAAGTAATTCTTGATCATATGGACATATAAGGGACGATTACATCATTCAGTAACATAATTGACCTCACTAAGCAAGGCCCGAGGGTGTGAAGATGATCTGATACAAAAGTACATGGCATAATTTGCAGCCAAGTCTTTCATATGGTATATTCAAATCTCCAATTTTAAGAAGGGAAACCCATCAATACAGTCGACTCACTGGTGCATCCCTCGGCTGCTGCTTTCCTCTCCAATTGAAACGGTGGCAAGGGACTTGGAAGCCCATGCTCTAGCATTCATTGCTCCTTCCTGCAGATTACTTCTCTTGCACGGCTCTTTCAAACAGTCAAATGACTGTATTAGCCGCTTCAAACAAATCAAAGGATGTTCCAGCAAGCTCCATATTCTAACATTTTGGATGACCCTTCTCCAGGCATATTGAATACATATAAGCAGCGATGGAAAAAACAAGTATAGTAATCTCAAAACCACAAATGTAGTGGCCAGAGCCAAGTAAGTTTCCTGACGCAGTAAATTTTCTGGAGATCTAGCCCATGAAAATGGACAACTTTCTGGCTCAGTGTTACCATGCTTCTCATCAGTAGATGAACGACCAATTTTCTCAAGCGATAGTTGATCAAGTGAATCAATCCTAATCCCTGGCAGTGACAGCCAAATAATGAATGAACTAAATACAAAAAAATAAGGAAAACAAAAAGTGCTACTGTATAATAAGGGTACAGAATTCATAGTTTGTTTGAACAAACAATTTAAAAGACAGCGCATTTATAGAGACAACTAAAACAATATTGAACGGAATTTAAAAAATGCAAGAAGTTTTCATTGGGTAATATTTGACCAAAAACATAGAATAGGAAATTCCACCCCCTAAGAGCAAATTTTTAAAATACGTTACCCCTCACTCCTTTCTCAGGAACTCGATACATTTCTAATTTCCAAATCTTAAAATATTGCTCTTTCTTCTCACAAAGACTAGCATCTTCCTTGCTAAATCCAAGTAATACCAACCTCCAGCTCCACAACCACTGTGAATTCAGGCCTCTATAGGTTGGTTCGATTTCAGAGTCAACAAGGTTGAGAGCACCATCATAATTTCTGACATGGAAGAATGGGTGGTCTAGGATGATGGTATCTCGTGGACTAAATTTGTGGGAGTAAAACAAGGATTTCACAGGGTCTCAAAATTTGGAAAATGAAACTGAGAGTATACTGTGGTCTGTGGACTTGACCACATAAGATTTGGACTTTGTTTGGTTCAATTGAGATGAGGAAAGAATAGGGATTTTAATTACCTATTTTGTTTGGTTAATAACTGTATCCTTGTTTGGTTCAAAAGGGCAGAAAAGATATTTTAAAATTAATATACATTTTTATCCTCATTGCATCATTTGAAAATTATGCCAATTCAGTATCATACAATACAATGGGAAATGTATAAAACACCATAATTGATTTTTTTTTTCCTTTTTCAATATAAGATATTCAAATCATATTTTACCAATAAAGAATACTGCTTTTGAATATATATTGCATAGCTTGAAAGTGAAGTGTCTCATTAGAAGGATGGCAGATTACATTTGCATGCAAGGCTTGAATGCCTAAATGTATAATTTTCATTTTTTGTACTTTTCTCATCTTCAAAAGAGTAAATGGGTTTGGGGCTTGTTAGGATACAAAGGTTGAATTCAGTATGTTTTAGTCACGAGTATTACAATTTTCTTTTTTTTTGTACAGTTTCAATCAATGATAGCTTTGGGATTATTCTTTGGAAAGGTAGTTGCAACAATTAAAATGAAACTTTCCAGCCAATTTTGTTGGGTCTTGACCAAAACAATGGCAACTATGCAGGATTTTGCTGAAGAAAGCAAAAATAACAAATCATACACCTAAAATGCAATGAAGGCAATTCTGAATTTTAAAATAATAGTCAGGTTGTTTTAGCAAGGTTATCAATAACAGAAAATGGTCAATGGCGGTGAGCCAAAAATCCTCTATATACATATGACGGACAGCATAACAGCCAATGGCGACAGATACATGGCAAAAAATAAATTACAAACAGTAAAAATAAATTAAAAACAACAGAATATCAACTTAAATAAGAAATAAACAATATCATAATTAATTTAAGTCTCCTAAATTTTTTATTAAAACACAACAAAAATGTTGAAAGACAAGATACATTTTAATAATTTAATTTTAATCATCCTTATAATTCCCGTCATCTTCCTGAATGTAATTTTCAATGTTAGAACAAAAAGGAACTCATACCGGACTCAACAGATAACGAAGATGAAGATCAGATGAACAAGAATAAAGATGAAGAACAAGAACTAAAATACAACAAAACATATGATTAACAGTTGAACAAATGAGGAAGAAGTAGGGAAAAAAAAAGGAATTAAAAAAACACAAAAAATGACTTTTTGAACCTCATTCCAAAGTTTTCCGGAATGGTTTGCCGGGGCAAGGGGCCTCTGCGGTTCAGGTCATCGAAGTCAAATGAAGGTTCAGAGAACCCTAGGACAGCAGCAACGTTGAGGTTGAGAGCAACAGCATTCCATGTTCAAAACAGTTGTATTTGGAGTTTTCTTTAAAATGGGTTGGCTTTGGTCAAAAACCCTAAAATGGGTTTTAAAAAAAATGCCATATCCACTGTGACCGCCATAAACCTTTATGGGGCAATGGCCATGGCGGATATGGCAAACATCGCCACAAAACGACAAATAACATATCATGAATGGCGATTTGCCCAGAGACTGTGCCACTAGTTATAACAGGATTATAACGGTTATTTGATAACATTGTGTTTTAGCCAAACTATTTAAATATTTTTAAATTCTTCCGCTACCCTCCAAATCACCCTAATCATGGTAGTAGAATCGGGATTCAAATCATGAATTGGAATGTATATTTTGCAAATCACAAATAGAACCATATTGTGATTCGTAAGATTCATGATCAATAATAAAACATAAAATATACAGCAAAGATATAAAAGGACAAATTCATGATCAATAATTAAAAAACACATCTAAGAGCATTTTAACACAAAGAAACATACCCATAATAAAAACATACATACATACATACATACATACATATATATATATATATTAGTATTTAAAAGGCAAATAGATAAAAATGTGAAATAAACTTCA